AGCCCTCTAGATCTGTATACATTGTATTGTAGATCAGGTGAACAGAGTAATCCTCTCTAAGTCTTCTAGATCTTTATACATTATATTGTAGATCAGGTGAACAGAGTAATCCTCTCTAAGCCCTCTAGATCTGTATACATTGTATTGTAGATCAGGTGAACAGAGTAATCCGTCCTAAGTCTTCTAGATCTATATACATTGTATTGTAGATCAGGTGAACAGAGTAATCCTCTCTAAGTCTTCTAGATCTGTATACGTGTATTGTAGATCAGGTGAACAGAGTAATCCGTCCTAAGTCTTCTAGATCTGTATACATTGTATTGTAGATCAGGTGAACAGAGTAATCCGCCCTAAGCCCTCTAGATCTGTATACATTGTACTGTAGATCAGTTGAACAGAGTAATCCGCCCTAAGCCCTCTAGATCTGTATACATTGTACTGTAGATCAGGTGAACAGAGTAATCCGCCCTAAGCCCTCTAGATCTGTATACATTGTACTGTAGATCAGGTGAACAGAGTAATCCGTCCTAAGTCTTCTAGATCTGTATACATTGTATTGTAGATCAGGTGAACAGAGTAATCCGCCCTAAGTCCTCTAGATCTGTATACATTGTATTGTAGATCAGGTGAACAGAGTAATCCGCCCTAAGCCCTCTAAATCTGTATACGTTGTATTGTAGATCAGGTGAACAGAGTAATCCTCTCTAAGTCTTCTAGATCTGTACACGTGTATTGTAGATCAGGTGAACAGAGTAATCCGCCCTAAGTCCTCAAGATCTGTATACATTATATTGTAGATCAGGTGAACAGAGTAATCCGCCCTAAGCCCTCTAGATTTGTATACATTGTATTGTAGATCAAGTGAACAGAGTAATCCTCTCTAAGTCTTCTAGATCTGTATACATTATATTGTAGATCAGGTGAACAGAGTAATCCGAACTAAGCCCTCTAGATCTGTCTACATTGTACTGTAGATCAGGTGAACAGAGTAATCCGTCCTAAGTCTTCTAGATCTGTATACGTGTATTGTAGATCAGGTGAACAGAGTAATCCGTCCTAAGTCTTCTAGATCTGTATACGTGTATTGTACATCAGGTGAACAGAGTAATCCGCTCTAAGCCCTCTAGATTTGTATACATTGTATTGTAGATATTGTATACATTGTATTGTAGATATTGTATACATTGTATTGTAGATCAGGTGAACAGAGTAATCCGCCCTAAACCCTCTAGATCTGTATACATTGTATCGTAGATCAGGTGAACAGAGTAATCCGCTCTAAGCCCTCTAGATTTGTATACATTGTATTGTAGATATTGTATACATTGTATTGTAGATATTGTATACATTGTATTGTTGATCAGGTGAACAGAGTAATCCGCCCTAAACCCTCTAGATCTGTATACATTGTATTGTAGATCAGGTGAACATAGTAATCCTCTCTAAGTCTTTTAGATCTGTATACATTGTATTGTAGATATTGTATACATTGTATTGTAGATATTGTATACGTTGTATTGTAGATATTGTATACATTGTATTGTAGATATTGTATACATTGCATTGTAGATATTGTATACATTGTATTGTAGATATTGTATACATTGTATTGTAGATATTGTATACGTTGTATTGTATATATTGTATACGTTGTATTGTAGATATTGTATACATTGTATTGTAGATATTGTATACATTGTATTGTACGTATTGTATACATTGTATTGTAGATATTGTATACATTGTATTGTAGATATTGTATACATTGTATTGTAGATATTGTATACATTGCATTGTATATCAGGTGAACAGAGTAATCCTTAGTCAAAATTATTATAAAAACAAGGACCCAATGAATGATATGAATCTTTCCAATACAATTTTTGACCTTTCAGTGGGTTTATTGCAAAAAAGAGGCGGTCAATCTGTTAGCACTGACAAAATATGTATATAGTGTTTATTAGGTCGTTAATAATCTTGAAGGCATAAGGAAATAAAGAATTTTTGTGTTATTAAATTGATGCTTTATTTTGATTGATATGTAAAATATTATATGCTATCTTTGTGCCCCTCCTCCAGCTTTTTTTCCCATGAATATGGTGTAGATCCGCTAATATATCCCGAACAAAAAAGATGAATACTTGCGGTTGGATAATTTAATCAATGTTTTTTCTTGTCATATATATTATTTGGCTGACCCCACCCTTTCCCCCTTTTAACTTTGTGACTAAGCTTAAGCGGATTGGCTGCAATGAAGTACAAACTATTTTACATTATTCTAAGTAATAAGATGTTAGATCTCATTTGGTGATAGTTAAATTATATATATATATATATATATATATATATATATATATATATATATATATATATATATATATATATATATATATATATATATATATATATATATATATATATATATATATATATATATATTCTATCATGGTTTACTGCTTATATTTTTTGAGTTCGGGGTGGGGGGATGAGGGAAGGGGCTGTGGAGGTTCATGTCTATGTGGCAGATCCTATGTTTACCACAGAGTCATAAAACATCAAATGTTTACGGAGTACATAGCCAGTGTCATTTCTATGCAACCTAACTGATCATGCCCCTCCCATCACCTTCTTCTTCAGTACGTTTTTCTCTATAATCATACAACTATTTGACACTTAAGGCATGGCACATTGTGCATGGGGCGTCGATCTGAGAGATGGGACGTTTCAATAGAAATTCATTCATTCGCGCTGGCAAAGTTAGTTGGAGAACAATATTTTCAACAATATTTTCAAACTTTTCCCCTAGAAATACTAGCATATTTATATCAATTTAACTAGTATGCATATATTTTTATTGTATGTAGAGCTAATTACATTGATATTTTTAATTCTCATGTTTAAATCAATATTTTTTTGAGTCGATATTATTTTAGCAATAAAATTTATTATACAGAAAAAGACGCTTTAAATTATATAAAATTACCCAGACACAAGACAAAATATAAATGAAAATAAAGTCATAACAGATGTTGATAAGACAATAAAAAGTAAGATAATATACAAAAATATAACACATCAAGTGTAGAGACCTTTTCGCTTCCGAATGGACCGATGTATCTACAACTAAACTTGAGATTTTTTCAAATAGATGTTTTGATGATTACACCTACTGTTAATCTTATCATGTGTGCATTTAAATGAAATTAATAAGTGTCATATTAATGACTTGAATTAATTGTTCATTAAAGCATTATTTTCTTTAATTAATAAGCTTTGTTTTAAACTGAATAGAATTTAGTTAATCATATTGATATAAACTTACATTCTGTTAGCAAGAAATATTGTAAATCTTACTTTTCGATGCTTGACAACAAAATTTGTAGATACTATATTTCATTTTAATAATGCAGTCTGTTTGTTTTGCTTCTCAAAGCACTATTTTTCAATATAAACATGAACAGAAAAGTTTTTTTTTTATTTGAAAGCCTAGCCTTCTAAATCTTCGTACATTTTTTAGTTTACAATTAAGATTTGTTTTCATACGCACAGTTCATAATTTCTTTTGCTTGAAAAATTTGTACAGACTGACTTCTAAAAGGATTAGAAGGAATGACATTAAAACAAAGGAGCACATGCAAGCTGCTCATATATCAGGCTTTGATCATTTGTATAGAGGAAATAAACAAATGATTAGTTCTAGTTACAGTGAGATTTGATCATCTCATTATGTAACATTAAACTATATTTGCCTTATATGTGTAAAATTTGAAACTCTCTGGGGGTATCGTGTTCAAGACCAAGAACATTCATCATGCGAGGTGCCACCTTTACACTTCAGAATGTGTTAATTTTTTATTTCATTTACATAAAGTTTTGGGTCTTTTTACGATGTCTTCGTGACAGAAAGATCGATTCGTATAGTCAATTACCCAGTAATCTGACAGAGTAAATTTCCACGAAATGAATAATATCTTATCTCTGTAGCATCTCGCTAAATTATTGAATGAAATAACCAATAAAACACAATTATTTACAATTTTAAGACGGAGAACGGAAACATGAGTATTAGTTTACTTCTAGTTTTCTACAAAATTAAAAAAAAATATATATTTTTCTTACCCTTATCTACATAACAAGAAATTTGAAAAAGAAAAAAAGCAAGTGCGCATTGTACGAATTCAATAAAATTGAGAAATTTATTTTTAGAATTGTTTTGGAGGCAAAAACAGTCCTTTACTTTATGTTTGAAAAAAAAACTTATTTTTTGTCTTTTCTGTTTCATCTACAAAAGTTACATTTTTAATGCATTTTACTTGTAAATCTACGTTATCTATTTGCTAATGAGATAAAGGTCTACAAGTTTAATCCTTTAACCTGGCTATTGCACCACGATAGAGAAAATAATATGAGGCATTCTGACATTTTTAAAATCAAGCAAATATTTGATGGTGTAAATACCATGATTTTATTCCAGTTCATTAAAAAAAAATCAAAAACACAAAAGTGGTGAATGAATCAAATATAATGACATAATCCTCTTCAATTAAATTCGCTCACCACATAAAATTTCTCTTGATGTGTGCATAGTAAAATATCCATCATTCAAACCTTAACTAATGTAAATTGTTATATGTTGTATTTCATGAACCGCATTTAAAATGTGTCAAATTTCACCTCAACACTCACGCCATTACCATGAGGTATAATATTGTTTTCTGTGGAAGTTTAACCATAATTTCACAATTTGGTAATTGAGGAAATCATAATAATTTTTTTTGTCTAGGATAGGATTTTCCTGCTGCTTCTTTTTTTCTTTGGGGCATAATTTTTAGGATGCTAGCATGAAGTGTAAACAGATAAATCATGGAGAGACCATTATCTGTTCTACTGGAATTGTACCAATCGATTGTAAGATCGCCTCCTCGACAGCGGGAAAACAAACCATGTTACCTTTGTTTTTGACCTGAAGGATACATAAGGTAATTCCAAAGACTCTAGTATCCCATTCATGATGTTTATTTCAATAACAGTAGATCTTTGCATATTACATACGATATGTTTAAAAGGTGCTTCTAAAATACAAATTATGAGTAGAGCAAACACAAACCTCTAAAAACATTAGAGAAAGGATCAGGTGCCATGGAGAAGTGAGCATTCCCAGCCAACCGGTCACACCCATCGTGTGCCCCTCGTCATGATCGGGAAAACGGAAAAATCTGTAGACTATTTGGAGTGAAAATAATGGTCTTACAATTTCTCTGAAAGAAGTCGGTCAACATTAGACCAAACAGTAGATTGTATTTGCTTACAAGATCATTGTACAGAATATAGAATTTGCAAAATGTTGACTTTATTGAGACTGTTGATGTCCTTGTTTCGTCAACTAATAATCAAGTTTATATACCCCATCTGAAGGATAAGAGTAAACACTTCACATAATGAAAAATTACATCTAATTCAGTAGCTTTAAGGTGGTTTGAATTAGGGACCTATGTAGTAGCAAGGAATGCAGGCAATCAGGTAAGGTAATTTTAATCAAACATCGACAGAGAACTACAGAACTGTTTATAACATAAAAAGGCTATGTAATTTGCTATCTACCGCTTTGTAATTTAAATTTTACATGTCACTGACCTTGACAGAAATATATTTAAATAGGAGGTAACTTTTCTATGGATAAACTGTAAAATTTGGAAGTAGAGAAGTTCAAGATCGAAGTATTAACAACTACAGAAGGGTTATAGTTGTCATAAATAACAAAAAAAACATTAATAATACGCTTACTATGAATTATACTGTATTTAAATTTCCTTGTTCAGACCTTGCAATAATGAGAGATTTCCAATGAGATGCATGAAATAAAAAATAAACATTTGAGAATCTTTCGTATTTTGGTTGATTATTCTGGTACTAAGTATTCTTACACAACAACAATCGAAACAAGATATATGGTAATAACTTAAACAGCTTTAAAATACTTGTAATCAAAATATATCATCTACGCTTGAGATTTTGGAAGATACATCTATAATATACATTACACTGCATTTATCAGCAAACAACTGATGAATAAGCAAATATATCTCTAAATGTATTGTAACTGATTTTCAATATTGAGAAAGAATATTCTGAATTCATTTTTTTATTATTATTTTCTTTTCAAATCAATCTACATATATATTTTAAAATTTTAAGACTGTAAGCATTACAAAAGAGGAACAAATGCACCTTGTACATAGTTTTGAGAAGGTAAACTTGTTTCTTGATGAAAATACATAATGTGAATGAGACAGATTAAATGAAAATAATACATATCTTTATGTCTAGAAAGTCTGTGGTACATGACAACAATATAATACCACAATAAACATGTGAATAACAATTCTTCCTTTATGCCCTATGATATTGATATTAAAGCTTGCTGTGTTATAATATATGATTGTATATTGTAGAAGGAGTGAGGCAGATTACTAAACAACTCTATAATTACATTACACGACATGTTCAGGCAGATCATGACGTCGCTTGCTTCCATTTGACGTCATTAATACACCACTGAAGTTTGATGTTCGGGATGTACTGAAATTCCGCCGACCTTGGTTACAGATTGTAAAACATAGTTTTTGTTTTAGTGTTTCCCAGAATCTCTCACTGAACCAGCAGTACAGAATAAAATTAAATGTAGACTTCAGCGGCATGAGAAAAATAGCTATATACAGAAGAATATAAAAGGTGTGTCTGTCAAAGTTACTTTTGTAAAGAAAAGCATTCATTACGACATACGGTGCCTCGCATACAAAGAAAATAATTATCAAACATACTAGCATGACTGAAATTTTCAGTTGCTCATTTGACAAAACTCTTTGCATCGAATGGTCTAGTCCAACATTGTTTCTGATGTATTTTGTAGACGCCCGGATTTCGTAAATCAGTCTAGTATTTAAAATTAAAAGGAACAAGAAAGGTAGTATGGCTGATAAAGTGCAATCTACAACCCAGCGATAAATCTCTTTTTCTTTGGGGTCCACGAATAACCAGGGTGCCGTGTGTGAGTATGTTACTGTTGGTCCACCACAGTCAGGTTCGTGTCTCACGGTCTCAATCTTGTTCTCGAAAAAGTAAGGTATCCGGATTACAAAGGAATACACAAAGACAGTAATGATAACAAAACGTGCTCTTCTGATGGAGCAGATCATGTTTGCTCTCAGGGGGTGAACAATGGCGACATATCGCTCAGCGGCCAAGACAACATTTATCCACACCGATGCACTGAGAAACGTCGTTAAAGGAATTCTTGTGTAGTTGAATACTATTCCAAAAAGAAAACCATCCTTTTCGTCAGTGAGGAAACGTTCAAAAAATCGAGGAAACAAAAAGACAAGAAATCCAAGATCAGCAACTGATAATGCGATTAGATAGCAATTAGTTGATGTGCACAGACTTTTCCGGGAAAGAACAATTATTGTTAAAATTATCCCAACGATTCCGATTGCAGAGATGATCGGAGCTAAGATGGAGAAGATAGTTAAGTAGCCGGGATTATCTGCCTCTGGGACGGTGAAATTCGGTTCTTGGATGCAAAGACACGGATTGTAAAACACAGATCCATTAATGATTTCCAGACACTCTAGATCATAGTCCGGTAGTGCATCGTGTGAAATATTGTATTGGCTCCGATTCTGATGGTCAAGTTGCGGGGACATCATAATGACAGATGTTCCATTTATAGCCCTAATTTATCCAGAGATGAAGGTTCCGATGAAATCAATCCATTCTGAAATAGAAAATAAAAAGTTCAATACGAATTGGCTAAAATTCTTTTTTAAAGTATGTTTGCTTATTTTCTTTTTGGGCAGAAAGTCATACAGAGGTGATGTCCAAAACAGATGAGCTTCTAAAAGAAAGAGAATTTCCTATAATCCCCGAGGTTTTCCCAGTGAACTTTGTCTGTGCTAAGACGTTCATACACAAGGTTTTATTTTTCGAAAAGTCTGTATCGTGCTCTGGTTAATGGAAAGAGTGATGCAATGAAATGTAATTATAGTCTCTAAAAAACAACCCTCGCTAGAACTATCATTTTGATAAGATATTATGACGCTTAAACAAATGAAAAGCAGTTCTGGGGGCATTAGTACACCCATTGCGCTCTTTCATACCAAACAACTGAGTTCCACTTTACTTGTTTTTTATTAAACGAAAATCATTGTAATTCCGTTTTTTTATACTTTCGATTTCATTTCTAGCATTTTTATCACATGTACACATCATTTACTTTAAGAACTATGAATGTATTTAAGCAATCTGTGATTCTAAACTTGGGATTATTTCCCGTTAATTGTACCATTATTTGAAATCGTATACTTTTTTCAAGTTTTTTTTTCATACCAGTACCAGAAGTCCTTTTTGTAAAGAATTTTTAAAGACTTTATTCTAACCAATGATTTAATATGCTAGAACAATACGATTCTAGACAGTCAAGCTTGTAAATATCGTTATTCCTCTAAACATGGTGCAGTCACACTTAACACGCCTACGACGAGTATCTCATTTGAATGCAAAGATGATAAATGAACAAGAATACATATACACAGAAAATATTTTTTGAATTGAAAATTTTTTCCAAGCAAATTTTCAACCTTTATTTCTTACCTGTATTCCCAAGATGAGTTTGAAAATAAATAAGTAGTGTAACATAGCTATTCAGCTGCCCTAGAATTAAATGAATTTTCTTAAATATAATCATTTTTCAACCTTGACAGTCTCCTCTTAGAGAAGGGTGGGGAATGACATATAATAGATCATTGTCTTATCAAAGACATTTATATTTTCCGGCATTGGATATAATTAAGTATCAGGGAAGATATTAGTACATACATAAATTAAAAGTCAAGATAGAAAAATTTAAGCCTAAACAAAAAAGACAACAAAGATATGGATAAAGAGAGAATGAAGGTTTTGTTGAAAATAATAAAATAGAAACTAACGCTCAACGATCAAATATTCATCGTATTTCAAAAGCGAGGATGGAAATTCAATGTTTACATATCATGATACGATATTATATTATATATTTTAAAACACATATAGAGAATATTCAATGTTTTGAAGTTGAATGTGGAATTTAATTTATTTCAAGAGTGAGACAAGATTTTTTTTTTAATTTTCTCAAGTGTGAAGCACGAGTGAAAATATATTTTAAAATAACCTGTCTCACGAGTGAAATAAATTTTATATTCAACTACAAAATATTGAATTTTCCATTTATTACATTTTCTTTAATTATTTCTTTGTCTCTGTCTTTTTGTAACACAGTGTCATAGACTGTGATACCATAGTTGAGCGGTTGAGATGTAACAGCTAAGGGATTGTGAGATTGAAAAAAGTAAAGATGGATTTCAACAACATATTTGGAGAAACATGGGCAGTTTTAATGTCTGTCAGGATGGCTTATATACTCTATCTTATAACAGGCCAGGGAATATTTTTACAACACTCGTCGTGAAGGGACGGAACATCGAGAGTTTTGCCGCACTTCTGATGTTCTTTCATACTGTGACAAAAAAAACGCTTTGATATTTTTTCAAACTGAGAAAATATTACTTTTATTCAATAAATGTTGAAAATGTAAATAATGTCATTTTGGTTTACTGAAAGAACTAAATTTTAAGACTTGTTTGTTTTTGAAAAATAAATCTGCAAAGGTAAACTAATATCTATTTCCACACTGAATTACGGAAGGATTCTTCGGTTTACTCTTTATCTATAGGAAGATACCTCAAGCAGGTTTATCGGATAAGATAAAAGGCCCTATACTGACCGATTAACAGAAAATTTTGTGCATTGAATATCTAGAGACCTGTAGATTTCTCATCAAACAAATCCAAGGTAGATATTGATAAAGGTACTGACGAATTTATCATTTTCTCTTCGACTCGAGAAATATAAGTGGCCGAAGTAAACTTTATGAAAAAAAAAAAAAAATAGGCCCATCTATTGTATAATTTTTCAATGCATATATGAATATTTTCTAAAAAAAATCATTTACATGATAAAAATCTAACCTTTATCAACTTAAATACTTTTTGTTATTTCATTTAAGATATGTGTTGCAAAAATACATAATGCTTTAGTTACAAAAGAAAGGTACTCCTCGTAATAAAGAATTCAGAAGCCATTTTTACACCATTATTAATCTTTCAATAAATGATATGGTTAGCAAATTATCATTTCATTGACATTTAAATAAGCATTGCTTTTTCCTGGCCGGAATTTGTTATGTCAATATAAATGACAATTATGAGTAGCAACTATTGACGGGAAAGCACCTTGGAAGCAAACACGGGGAGCGTCTTTATATGTCTGATATTGATAAATAAAAACGCGGTTATATATGCTTTAGAAATATGGTACTTCGTTACTAGCCGATTTAGACTGGGTAGAGTTTCACAATACATATAATTGTATATATTATGATAGTGTGTACCTATTCAATTACAACTATGTCGATTTTTTCTTCATTTTGTAATCAATCACCATTATTTATATTTCTCAGAGCAGTATTTTCATAATTTGTTTCTTTTTTTAAGTGAAACTTTTTATTTTTTAACTAAATGGTAAAAATACCATATTCACGAAAGAAAATTGACTAAAGTTTCACAAGCTTAATACAAAGAATTAAATCTAAGTACTTTGTTAATCTTGCAATCGTTGTGGTTTTAAATGCGTTAAATTAAAAAAAAAATCAATGTAACATATGGAACAAAATGATCCATCAAAGAAACACTTTCAAGCGTTGAATCACATATGTGACAATGTATGCATTGTCAGTCTATAGTATGAAGGATCCCGTGCTAAGACAGGTTTGAAGAAATACTGTTGTTACATCCTCACAAACAAAGATACATAGCGGATTCCAGTAAATGTTCTACCAAGCCTCTTTCTTTATACCTCAATAAATTATTAACAGCAGTGAAAGGGAAACTTTGGGAGTACTGTACAATAATATATTTTAAAAGTGGTACAAATCAGATGTGGGTACTTTAAAATTCCAAGGAACGTTTAGAAAATTTGAAATCACATCACTTTATACAACCATTCTCTACGATAAATTAAAGTCCAGGCTTTTTGACATCATTGACAGCTGCTTTTCAATAAAGTTGAAACTCATTTTGAAGTTAGTTACCTTGTCATTGGTCATTTGCAGCATTATAAGTATATGCCAAGTTTTAATTAGTTAATCACATAAATTTAAAGAAAGTGATCGATATAATTATACTTGTAGGGAAAGTTTGATATATCCTTTTGTTAACCAAAACAAAAACTCAACATGTTTTATTTTGTTGCACCCTTTGTGTTCCTACCGCTGTTTCCAGATGCAGGGATTTGTTTTTATGTTTTTGAAGAATTTTAATTGCAGATAGGAGTAAACCGTCAATTAATAACACATGTATACAATCCACATCTTCCGAGCAATGTGGGTGGCGTGACAGTGCTGAAATCTTGGTGTACACACTGTACACTTTACCCAAGCTATGAGTAACCTGACAAAGCAAACTGTACATAGCACTGAGCTGACATTCTACACTTAATTTAACTGTAGAATGACATGGCTGATATCGGCCATCGTACTTTATGATAAATGTGATGACTTCAACTTTTCAATGGTCAATATCACTTACAGTTGTAGCAATATACCCTTGTCACCTGCATATGGGGTTTATGTTTCTCAGTTGATTCGATACGCAAGAGCATGATCTACGTGCGAACAATTTCTAAAGTGAGGCAAGCTATTGACAAACAAGATGATGAAACAAGAATATGAACAGTCGTGTTTAAATTCATCATTTCGCAAGTTCTATGATCGATACAATTAACATGTCAGCAAATACAACCTATCAATAAGTCAAATGCTGACTGTCGTTTTTCTTACTAATTGTTAGGCCATTATTTACATACTGAATTGCCGACGGATTTTTCCGTCTTTCCCGACCATGACAAGGAGCACAAGGCGGATGTGTTCAGTCGGCAGGGGATGCTCATACCTCCATGGCACCTGATCCCACCGTTGCTGTTTTAAAGGTCCGGCCCGTGTTTGCTCTACCTCTGAATTGTATTGTTTTAATGAACTTTTGAGCTTAAATACTGTTCGTTATCTCCATGTTTATCTATTACAGGAATGTAAATTTCAAACATAAAGGATTTCCTGTATCAGATTTATTCAGATTTCTCAGTTAAAGTCTACATGGACTCTCTCTCTCTCTCTCTCTCTCTCTCTCTCTATATATATATATATATATATATACATTCCTTTTTATGCACTTCACCATAGCCTTTTCTTAAGAAAAATATAACTATGATAAAGTAATGTATATGTGAAATCTTCTAAAATATTAATATATCAAAAAAAAATGTCTTCTTTAATTGTAATTAAATTGTCTGGAGATAAAATAGGGATACATTTGACTACCCACCCACTCCCCTCCCCTACATTTTTATGCAAATATGCATTATGATACAATATTATTTCTAATAATTGGGGTATAAGTATTTTACCGAGGGGATAAAAAAAAATTCCAGTAATTCAGTGCCTTTGTTCAACTAAACGTATGTTTTTAAAGAGTATTCCTTTATCAAATATTTTTTTATTGTTTTCTCAGTGTACTAGTATATAAAATTATCTATAGAGATTTTATACTTTGTCGTGTTTTGCCATTATTAGTGTTAACAATACACATTTAAGAAAGAGAAAGGTATATTTACTCAACATTATTTTGA